TGGGAGGGCCCTCGGAAGCCCCTTAATCCAACCCCCTTATTTCAGAGAGCCGAGGTCTCCAGGGGCAGCTTTGGGCCACACTGGCCCTCTGCTGTGCCTGAGGATTTTCTGTGATATGACCTGTCACCTGTCACCAGGTGGGGTCTTCCAAGGGCATGGGAGGGCCGGGCAAGGACCAGAAGGGGTGTCTGCTAGAATGTTCTATGGGATCTGGGACTTTCCAAAGGCGGCTCTGGGATGGCCATCTCCTAATCACATGCATGGAAGGGTCCCTCCGAGGCCAATGGGCCCAGCCCATCCGTGAACAAGACACCTCCAGCTTCTGCCTGAAGACCTCCCATCATGGGGAAGCCCTTCCAGTGGGGCAACTCTCATCCCCTCTGGACCCTGCCCTGTGGGCCCAAGCTCTCCAGACACCTGGACAGAGCTCTCCTCTGCCCCATCAGTCAGTTCCTCCAACGGGTCCTCTTTGGGGGAAGGCACTTCTGGGCCCTTTGCCCTCCCCTGGACACATGACCACCTGTCAGAGTCCTTTCTGGATGGGACGCCCAGAGCATCAGCAGCCTCTCCTCAGGGATGGGGGTGGCCCAGGGTAGTTAGAGAGAAGGCTGGCAGAGGGTCAGAGAGCCCATGGGCTGGGAGGAAGAAGCAGGTTTGAAGGGTGTGGCCACCCTGGGGATGAGCTCAGGCCTTGGGCAGGTCCCCCCCTCGAGGGGGCCTTGGGGCCTGTGACCATTGAGTCTTTGCCCCTCTGCCACAGATGATGACAGTCAGCAATAAAGCCTTCCATCCGTGAAGGAAGCCAGGTCAGGGAACACGGATCTTGGACTCCAGTGCTGAGGAGGCACAGGGGAATGGGTACCCCTAGCTGTGGGGTATACCTCTTTCCCTGTGGATCAGGGGGATCAGTCTGTGGGACCTAGGGAGGCTCGAGGAGGTGAGTCACAGCAAGGGGGAGGCCTGGGCCATTGTTCAGATCAGATCAGAGGGGCATTGGCCCCAGGCAGGGCAGGGCAGGGGCATTAGGTGGGTC